GGAACATGATTTTTTATGACTGCATGAAGGTTATTCTTATACAGAATATCATTATAGAGATGTTTTGTTGTATTTTTAAATCAGATATTGCAAAATTTTGTCTTCATTATTAAGTCTTAATCTTAATAACTGCATAAGTATTATGCAGTGGCGAAGCTAGGAATTCAAGTGGGGGAGGCGAAATTCTAAAAAAAAAAAAAAAAAATCAATTTTTTTTTTATAATAATAAATATAGAAACTTTAATATTTGTTCTTAATATTCTTTATTTAATACAATTATAAGTTTCCAAATACATGGTAAAACAAATAAAGATAATCGTATTAACATAGGAAATAGGTAAAAAGTCCTAATTTTCTAAAGGTAAATTAAACTAAATAAATTAAGTAGAATATCATTCATGAAGTAATAAAGAGTTTAAGCTGTCTCAAAACTTTAATTTTTTAAGTTCGTATAAAAATTTGTTTTATTTATTTATAATCTAAAATTTCGTTTAGTTTGTTTTAGAGCTTAATTATTGGGTTGAGAAATTAATTTTCATATGGTGGGTCCTATTTATAAATTTCATTTCATTTAGTTTATTTTTGGATTTAACGTATTTTGGGTAAAAGCTGGGGAGGTAAGTAAGTTTTACAGTTTGGGACCTTGGGTTTGATTATTTGACATTTAGATCCCAATACTTTGTAGATTGAAATTATATATAAAGTATTGGGATCTAAATGTAATAACTTTCAAAAACAATTAAAGCTTAGGATAAAAAAATTTATGTTATCACACTTGAGTAATTTCTTACGGCTTTTATACTGTTCATAGGATAGGATAAAAATACATTTAAATGGTTGTGGTTAAATTTAGCGGGAATCATGACTAAATCATAGAAATGACATAAGTTAGGTTATTTCTAAAGAGAAAATTCTTAATTTCCAAGCAAAGTAGCAAACTACGCTAACCATGAAATATTTACTAGTGGTCAGTAAAAAAAGAAAAATGCTCTTTTCACATATTAAAAAGAAAATACATATTCTTGATATAAATATTCAATTAAGCGTAGTAATATCCATATTAACGAAAGATATTTAGATTATTTTGAATCTTTAAATGTTAATCACCTCAAATTATGAGGGGAAAGTGTAATTGTTCCAACATAGTAAACTAAAGGAGAGAAAGACATTATCCACCCCGAGGTTTTGACTAACGAGTAATGTTACAGTTACTGAAAAAGTATACTGAATTCATGCACCAAACAGTGTGGCACCATCTGCTTTTTTTAAAAACAAAATTCATAATTAATCAATGATCATGATGGTGTCATGTCTATTGGTGTATGAATTCCGTATCTCTTTTTGGGTGACTGTATTATTTTCCTTTGACTAACTATGTCTAGGTTTTGTGTTATAAAATACTAGACCTTTTGAAGATAACAAACGTTTACACGATCAATTAATTATGAGGATTTTTTGTTTAAAAAACCAAAATACCCCTCCTTTTGATATTGTCCCAATTTTAAAAGTCCATATTCTACCGTGAACGGTCTATTTCTCCTTAAGAGCCATTACAATTAGGGGGTATATCCTAGTATTTTAAACTCTAGGATTTGGATTGTGGACCTAAACCTTAGGGGGATAAAGGCAGTTAACTATAAACTTAACTAAATTTAAAATAGAGTTAATGATGTAATCTCTTTAACGTTTCCTGAATTAACGAAGTTTTTATGAGGTTTCAAATATATAAAAATTCTTCTACAATTAATGAGTAGTTAAGCCTTTGGTGTCAAAATTAATGAACGATAGAAGGGCATTTAAGACTTTAAGTATATATTATTAAGATTTAAGAATAACAATAACATGAGATTCCATTAAATAGTAAAAATCTCTATAAATTTTTAACAATTCATTACTAATATAAAGCTTTCTATCATTATTGAAACTTAACAGGAGGATTTTGTTATTCAACTACGTAACAAAATTTCCTCAAAGTTTTACTAACACACTAATTATTGACTTAGTGAGTCATCATGCTCTTATTTTGATGATAAGAAACTAATTTTCCCTCAAGCATGTTTGCTAATGACTTGTGCTTAAGTGTGGACTTAGATGACAAGGTAAGTTGTTCCCAATGCATTCAAAGAAATATTAAAGAGGGAAAAGACAAAGCTTGGATGAAGAAATCTGAAGAATTTACAAAAGCTTAGTCTAGGAATATCTCTTTATAATTAATTCGAGTGTAAAAGCACGAGTCTTGGTTAGAAAAGTCTTCAACATGCGAAAACTCTCCAAACTTGTTTTTGGGTTTTTTGGATTTGGGCTAAAATGTCTCTTTTCAAACCTAGGGGGTTAACCTAATATTTACGGACGCTTCATATTCTACAGTTTAACCCATCTGGTCAACTGGATCGTGCATCTGGATTCTGAGTTTTAACTTTGGGCTAATTATAATATTTTAACGTTTGGGGGGTTTTTGGATTTTTATTTTGGTCCAAAATGTCATATTTCAAAGTTTTGGGGTTTAAATTTGCTTACTCGACCCTAAAGGTGGAAAAGTAACCCGCTCGGCCCGGCCCGCGGCGGGTTACTTTGTTTGGCGGGCCGGGCCTAACCCGCCTGCCAACAAAGGCAGGCCGGGTTAGGCCCGCCATTTTCTCCAAAATGGCTGGCCCGGCTCGGCCCGGCCCGCCAGCCCTAACCCGCCGGGTTAGGTGGCGGGCTAGGTCGGGTTAGCTCGATTTTCCTATTTTTTTTTTTTTATTTAACTTTTCAAATAAATAATTATAAATATAATTGTTTTTAATTAACTTTTCTAATATCAATAATTCAATTCAATTTTTTTGTTTTTTAACATTTCAAATATTAATTCAATTTTGATACAATAAAATTATAATATAAGAAAAATTAGACTTATTGGAGTATGGAAATTGGAATTTGGAAAATTGGAAATATGAATTAAAAATTACAAAAACTAATAAAAATTAAAATATGAGCAAATTGCAAAAACTAATAAATGAATAATTGAGAGATTAGAGATTAGAGAATATGAGAGAATGAGAGAATTTGAGTTGTGAGAAAAATGAGAATTTAGGGCCAATTTATAGGAAAAAATGGGAAAGAGAAATGACGAAAAAGACCCTTTCAACGGCTATAAAACGGCTATATTTCAAGGGTAAAGGGGTAATTTGAAAAATAAAATAAAAATTTTTATTTTTTTTATTTTTTTCGGCCAACCCGCCGGGTTGGCTGTTGTAACGGCCAACCCGCCGGGTTGCACACAACCAACCCGGCGGGTTGCCGGGTCTCTTGCAAAAGAGACAAAATAGCAACCCGCCGGGTTGCGGGTTGCCATTGTGCAACCCGGCCCGCCCGGGGGTTGCTGCAGGGTTAGGGTCAACCCGGACCGCCATCTTGGTGGTCCGGGCTTAACCCTCATTTTCTCGGGCCGGGTTAGGGTTGACCCGCCTAACCCGGCCCAAATTTTCCACCTCTAGTCGACCCTATGGTTGTCCTTTTCAGCATTTGAATTGGGCAAAGGCAATATTTTTGGGCTCTATAATCTGATCGACTGAATTGAATCTGGTTGATCGGCTTGGCAGTTGAATTTTCCCAACAGCTAGTGCCCCACGTGGGCGCCATGTAGGTGTCACGTCAAATTCTATTGACCAGATTCAAGGCGATCGATCAGATTCTATGATTTTCAATGCAATTTTTAGGCACAACGACTATATTTTCAGACTCCTTTATATAAACTTAACCAAACCCAAACCTAAACAACTTTTAACATTCTAAAACTTGCATATACAAAACAAAGTGTTTAGATCATTATGGAGAGCTTTCACACGCAAATCTTATTTTCTACCACATACCATCTACTCTTTGAGAGAGTTTTTCATTATTTTATCAATCAAATTTTGAGTTGTAAAAGAGTGAGGTTTACTCTTCGGTTTGTAGGCAGCAATAATGAGAAAAAGTAAGTCCTAGTGTGTGAGACAAAGCTTTCAATTGCACTTTGTGAAGCAATTATATGTAAAAGTTTAATAACACTTAGAGGAAAGCTATTTGTGTTGGATTTGCTTGGTCGAGTGATCAACCAAGGGAGATAGTGGAATACTCTAAGGGGGAAAGCTTGGAGAAGCGGACATGGGCTGGGTTCAAGCCGAACCACTATATATCACTTGTGTTTGCATCTCTCTTTATTTTGTGCAACTTACTTTATACTTGTTCATACTTGCTTGCTCATAACTGTTCACACTCACATATTGCACTAGAAGAGACCCTAAGTCACAAATTGTTTAAATTTGCTCATATAGCTAAAAAATGACCTTAGGTACTTTAAAGGTTTAATTCACCCCCTCTTAAGACCATTTTGATCCTTCACTAATGATATAGAGATTTCTATCTTTTTTTAGACCTAAGGGAGATTTTATTATTTAATTAAACTTGAGGGAGTTCATTAAATTTTAAGATATATTTATATATAGGACTAATCCTTTTAGTACCCCTTCATTATCCAAAATAACCAATTGGTCTATGTGATATCAAGATTACACAACCACCTCCTTTGCAGGCATGCAGCTAGTTTTTGGTGGTGGTTGTTGTTGTTAAAGCCAACTGTTGACTTAAAAAATCATCAATGAAAATAAGTTTCTACAATATTAAGGAAAATTTCTAAAATTTTTACGAAATCTTTTTTTAAAAATATACGTTTTTCTTATGAGTTTTCCAAAAACATATTTTTAAGTTTAATAGTATCATTTAGTGATCAATATAGGTCAAAAGTTTGTATTAACGGAAAAAAATTAATGGTTGGGGGACTCAGTGTTAATTTCGATACCCTAGGGACTACATGGAAATAGGTCAAAAGTTAGCCTAGAAATTTTCTTATTAACTCGTATAAGAAAAAGTTTCCATCCATCGTGATCAAGACGAAGAATTTTCCCACTTAAATCAGAGCCAGTGAACACATGCCACGTAGACATGATCCAAAGTGGATTGACTTACGCGCGAAGACTCAGTGCGATAAAAGAACTTGAACATCACCACTACCAAAACTTGTCTCTGATTGAATCACACTGCTGTCACTTGCGGTTTATACTGTGTTTGCTTCTTTATATTGGTGTTTATCATCAGATTTTATTTGTAAGGTAAGTTTTTTCTGCTTACTTTATTATGAATATTAGTGTTCGATGAAAGTTCTGAAAGAACTAAGTGAATTTAAGGAACCTCCTTTGTAAGTGTATACTTTTCTTAACCAATTGGAGTTCTAGAGAGTAATGTTTATTGGGTTTTTGTTTGTGGGTTTTTCATTGCCCTTTAGCCATTTTTTTTAACGTTCAAGTGTATTCAGATAGCTAAAATTCTTTTTTGAAGAGTTATTGGATGCTTTTTGCAGTGATAATATAGCTGAAGCTTAGTGAAAATAGCTGTTTTTTTTTTCCTGCTTTTTAAATTCTTATAATTTGGATTGAGAGATATAGAAAGATTTTTAAAGTTGACAGAGAGGTCTCTGTATTGGGTAGTGTTCGGATTTTATTGACTAAAGAATTTCGATATATTCTTTTCTTTTTTATTCACTTAAATTGCGAGGGTGTCATGGGTTATTTTGTTTACACGCTGACATAAGTAATGTTTGATACTTATCTACTAGTTGAAGCTTTTGATTTTTAAAGGTAAATGGTTTAAGATTGAATGTTGAAGATCATAAATAGTTTGGATTTTTTCAATTAATCTTTCCAATGGAAAAATACATTCAAGCAATGAGCTTAGTAATGAAAGAGGTCAATTTACCTCATTTGAGCAGGGTTTGGCTTCTTAAGAATGAAGTTAATTTTTTTTTTTTCTGTAACATGAGCTTGGCTTCTAGATTTATACTTCATAAAATCTTCAATTTTAAATTTATTTTTGGGTTTGCAACTGGGTAAAGTAATTTCTTCTTCACAAAATTTTGGTCGCAGATGTCCTTGCATATTGGCAATTTATCATCTCGCACTCGTAGAGCTGAGCTTGAACGTGTTTTTCGAAAGTTTGGACAATGTGATATACGATTGAAAGATGGATATGGTTTTATAGTATATGATTTCCCTCCGAATGCAGAAAAAGCTTTAAGAGCACTACAAGGAAGAAATATCTGTGGGCAGCCATTGACTCTTACACGGTCTAATAAACAACCCACCTCTCTTAAAAAATTTGCAAAGGCTGCTAGATTCTATGAGCCACAATATGCGAGTTTTGCTAGAGGAAGAGATTATAGTAACAGGAAACTGCATTCAATTGGTCTACAAAATAACAGGTCTGGTTTTAAGCGACCTGCTAGACATGGTAGAAACTTTAATGCAGTTAACATGCTTCATGAAGATAGAAACTACCATCAGGGTAGAATTAATGACTACATTCAGGAAGAGCATTTTGATTATAGGGAAGATATACTAGATGAAGGTAGGAATGTTGAACCTGATGTGGTTGAAAATGATAGGTGGGGTGCACACTTATATGACCAACCAAATGATAATGGTGTTGACTATGAAATGGAGGACCGGTTTGAACGTTACCAAGGTTATGACAGGAAGCGTGAAGATGAAAACCATAACATGCCCTATTATGGTGTTTCACATGCTCCCCGAAGCCCTGAAGAGATAATGAGGGGAGAGAATCTTTCTGAAGCACATTTGGAGCCTCCAAATGATTTGAAATCACTGGAAGCCTGCTACTATTGTGGAGGTTTAGGCCACAAAATGTGCAGTTGTACCATGGAAAATGTTTCAAAAAGAAATTTCAAGACAATTATTCGTTTTAGGCATGGTGATGACATTAAAAGAAGGGCTAGAGGTAAAGGCAAGCTGGAAAGATATGAATCTAGTTCTCATGGAAAGGGGCAATCCAGTAAGGATTCTATATCATTGAGTCGACTTGGTAATGGTAGGAAAGCTCCTGGTATTGGAAGGCATCACAGGTTGAAGCGAAACAGTAGCTCCCCTGAGGCAAAGGAAACTGACAGGGTTTGGAGAAAGGACCAAGGAGGAAAGAAGCAAAGGAGGGATGATGGAACTCAGAAGAATCACAGTGAAAAGGAAGCAAAAAGGTCAGTTTCATTTCCCCTCAATTCTGATTGCACTGAATCCATATCACACTCATCTCAATCTTCTAAACCTGTTTCAAGGTCTTGTTTGCACTTTAGATCAAGATCAATATCTTCCAGAGAACGTTCTGCGTCATCTGATTCAAGGTCTAGTTCGACGTCATGCTATTCTAGATCTACCTATTCGAAGTCTATGTCAAGGTCGAGCTCTCATACATCCTTGTCTGTATCTGTATCCCTTGGTCAGCCTTTACCAATGTCTCCAAACAAGGTGCAGCCGCATCCGAATGGCCATCTGGATAATGCTGCCACATCTGAACCAAAAGAAATTCTAGTTGAGCAAGGGCTGCTGGATGGTGATGCTAGGTTGGAGGATGCTAAACTTGAAAACAACTTGTTGGCAATGAGAAATGAAAATGTGGTTTCATCCTCTAAACTGAAAGATGAAATGGATCAAGAGCAGCCTATGAAAAAGGATGATGAGGATAACGATAAGGTGTCCTTGTCATTTTGTGAAATAACAAATCCAAGTACACCATTACCAGAAAAAGTCCTGCTTACACCTGGAAGCTTGAGTTTAGAGCCCTTGAAAGAGACAAAGGAGTTTCAACATTCTGAAGCATCATTGTTGGTGCATATTCCTGTACCTATTGAGAATCCTAATTCAGAAGCTCTTGGTAGTTCCCACTCTGGCCGTTCAATTAGCGTATCCTCGGAGGAGATGTGCATGGTTCTGAAGCACTATGGCATGAAACTTCCTGATGAGAATGAAAGGCATTCACCTGTAGAGGATTATTTTGGTTCTTCTCGCTTATGGCCTTGGGAGATGATCTATTATAGGAGGTTGAAGAAGGGCCCTATTTCAACTGAAAACTACTCTCGGCGGGTGGCTCAGAATCAGGAATTTGGTATCATTGACAAGTATATACGAAGTAGTAGTGGATGGGGAGAATCAGTTAAAGACTACCCTTGAAAGTTTTATGTGCGATATGTCAACTTATTTTTCACACTTAAGACTTTGAGCATAATTGGAATACCTTTCGTTTGATACTGCTTTTTTTGGACTTCACATGGAAGATTTCTGGTGGACTTTTCATTTAGAAGCTTTTGGCTGGTAATTTTGTAGAGTATGTTCAATACATTTAATAGTACTCTACAAGCTGTCAGATTCTGTTGATTGTTGTGCACTTCTTCCTTGAATCAGGTTAATAAAGCTTTGGTTGTATTGCTCAATGTTGGGTTGTGGAATGAAATTTGAATGACATATCTTTAGATAAAGAAATTGGTTTTGATTTATAAAGTTTCATATAAACCTTTGTGTTAATATGCTATTATGCCTTTTAAGATTTTTCTGCAATGAATATTAGCTAGCCATATTGTTTATTTTTTTGCAAGTGATTTATGCGCTTTCACTTTATATCTCCTAAAAAATGTGCCAACTTGTTCTCAGAATTTCAATCTGATCCCAATCACATGTTAGCTGAAAATATTTTGCTAGAAGAATGTGGGGCCGCAAGAAGTTTATGATTTTCATTTATGAAAACCTCTAAAACCTAATTGTAGTTTGTTCACCTTCTTGTCAACTTTGTTTGTTAATTTACTTTTGTAGTTGGATTACGTTAGCTTTTGACATGTTTCGTTGTGTCATGATTCAAAAGAGTAGAGTAGACCCTTCACCAATTAATACATATAGGAGAACAAATGATACATCTAAAGAGTAGAGTAGACCCTCCACCAATTAATAAATATGGGAGAACTAATGATTTTAGTTACTAAAGTTGAGATTTTATTCAGCATCTTAATTTTTTCATTTAGGAACAGACTTGGGAAATATTATGATCTTCACTACAAAGACAAGCTTCCCTCATAAAAAAATTAGAAGTTTAAAAAGAGCTATATAGGCCTTTTTTTGATGATCTCACAGTTTAAAGACAATTCTTCTACTGTAGTAATCTAATAAGTTGTTAAAGTCAAAATTTTTTGATGAATCAAGTTGTAACGATGAAGTTTTACTTAATTGGTATACCACTGGATATTATAATGTAAAAACTTTCAATAACATATGTAAGTTATTCTTGGTATAAAATGCTAAAAGCAGTAGTAGATGTGCTGGAGATTATTCGGAAAAATGGAAATGCTCACTCTGCTTTTCCCAGCTCATTGAATGATACTTAAAAGAATAGGTGAAGGCTAGCAGAATTATGGGTTCCATTTCTACTGGTTTGGAAATTCTTAGATAAGGTGCCTATCTAACTACTTACTGGTTTAGTTGAAATGGATGCAATGGGAAGATGGTTGCCAAAACAGTATTAAGGTAGATTTTGATTAGAGGTGATATCATCTCAAGGAATGCAGCTCATCTCCATCAAAAAAGTTAGTTTTGGGTTCTGTCATTTGGTCGTGAACCTGTAGAACATTATGTTAGAAAAATTTCCTAATTGTGGTCTAGCATTAATTATATGTTGTTTTAATTAAAACCGGGTAAATAGTAGTCCACTAATATACTAATGGGCTTAATGTGATTACATTAAAGTTTTGCCCATTATACTTCATTTAATTATCTGAATTGAAGACAAAGTGTGGGCTTCAGACTTTATTGGGCCTTTAATGTGAGGGTCCAACAAACTATTATTAAATTGGCTAGATCCCTTTTCCAAAATGCAATTGTACGCTGAATCCCATTTGGAAGTCATCACTGTGGAGTGTTTTTGAAAAGGAAGACTGGTCACTACTTGCACGGAATTCAAGAAATTCAAAAGCCATGGTAGAATCAGGTTTTTCTAATCCTTAATCTTTAAATTTAGTATTTTATAATCAATATGCAGATCTTGGGATTAATTGTCAGAATTGAGTGGAATTCATGTTAGAATTCCTACACATTAATCATATCTCAATGAGGGAAATGGTGTTATCTAAAAGGTCTGGGTCAAGGAAAAAGCTTCCACTAAAGGCTTCCAGCAAGGTTTTGATATATATCCTTGCTTACTTTCATTGAAGTAATGAAATGTTTTTGCCAAATACTCTGATAAAATATTGGTACACTTGAGAATTTTATACTAGGCTTGAGGCTTTTAGAGTGTAGACTGCACACTGAATTTTGGAGAGATGCATTTTTATTCTACTATAGGACTTTTTACCTTTTGATGACTCCATGAGGAGGTTAGCAATTGAATTAGATAAAATTTACTGTTCTTACAGATTTCCATATGGGTCAACAGTCCTTTTTGAGTTGACTGTCATATTGACTATCATGGTACTTCTCTTTCTTTTTTCTTCTGTGCCGTTATCAAGAAAAGAACTTAACAGCCTAGGACAGCTGACCCAACTTTGGTGCCATGTCTTGTCCTTCACCTCCAGTTATCCATATGCTTTATGCTAAAAACAGTTTAAGTTTGCAACTTTCAACTGTTTTGTTACAGCCAAAGTTTGGCAGAGCTTGCATTTGATTTTGGATCGTTTCACTGTACTGATTCTGAATTATCAAATTTTATGGCTTGTGCTGGCTTTTGCTATGTATCCAACAATGCTTATATAAAAAGGAAACGTGATATATAAGGTAAGGAATTTGCAATCACGATAAACTATAGTCAAAGTTCTGCGTTTTACAGGATGTTTGCGTAGATATTATAAAGGCTTGCTTATACTTTACGTTATAATTTTTTCTAACTTTACAATTGCAATTTAAGTATTATGATACAGTTTGAATCTGTATGAAAATGAGTGTCATTTAAGTTGGCACTTGGGTGGGTTTTCAGCAGTTGATTTGTTTGAACTGGTTTCTTAATTATTTTCTCTCTTGCTAACTCTCACATTGTAAGATCATAATCGACAGATGCTATAAACCTTGCGGCTATGCTAAGATTCCATTGCCAGCTAGATTCTTCCTCTCAAAGTAATACATTTTGTGCTTATCAGCAACTGTAATTATTATGGATCCTTTTGAGAGATCTTTAAACTGTATTGCCAATGTTTTCAGAATACTATTCTCATAGGGGGTTTTTAAAAATTTTAACGGGATATTTTAATAATCTCCAAACAAATGAAATTGCAATGGGGGTGGGCGGTTGGCAGTTGTCGAAAAGTAGCAGTGCTTGGCACAATTGAGGTGGGTGCATTGAATTAGAGACTCAAAAAATAGTGGCAGACTGTTTTTAGTCATTGTTTTAAACAGTTTAGCTTGAATTATTTGACTCTAGGATGGTTGGCAGTTCAATTGGATTTGTCAAATCAATGTCGTCTCATGCAAATGTTATGTTGTTTAATCCATGTGATCGACATTGACACTCCCACCCATTGCAGGTTTTTTATTAGACTTTTGCTTGAAGTGAGTTATTCGGATATTGTAACACTAGTGGTTTTGCCCTTGATTTTTTTTTTTTTTGTTTATTTTATTTAACGGGAAAAATGTTACGGGTTGCTTTTATTGTGGGCTACTTTCATGTCAAGGAGAAACAAGGCATTCTTTAGTAGCATTTTTCGTATCCATCCATCAGCCTAGCTTGGCAAATTTTTTATCTGCATTTTGTTTTTACTTTACATCTACTTTTATTTTTCTTGTCACTTCCTGTCTCTGATGGTTGTTAGGTTCTCTTTGGTATTTTATGGCTCTTTGACTTTAGATGATGTTCATGCTTCTGTTGGTTAAGCAGGGATTTAACTTAGGTTTCTGCTTGGGTTTGGGTTTGGGTTTGGTTTATCTAAGGTCTCCAAACTTCTTCAATAGAGAGTTAATAATGAATAACTTCACAGAATTTTGTATGTCAAGAATTTCACGTAGAAAAGGTCGTGGAGTTTAAACATTTGGGTAAACATAAGAGCTATTCATTATGTCACTTCTCTATGGGTCTCAAAGAAGTCATTAGGCAGACTTGGAAGGAAATCCAAGCCCAATCCTGGATCCATTGGTTTGACTGTTCATTTTCTTTATTTTTTGTGCCGGAGCAGGCAGCCTAAGCATTCATACTTGGTTTACCGCCAGCTGCTGTAAAGTTGCTTGGCTCTGGTGTTTTACTATCTCTGGACGGCCTTAGTAGAGATAGATTAATTCATACTTGTATTGCTGTAAGGATTTGGCTCAAGGATGAATAAGGAATGGATGGTTCCGCTAATGCTTGAGTTTTTGACTAAAAGTTCCTCATTGTTGTCTGGCAATCTAGTGGGTTTTTATGTTAATTCTGAGCTTGCTCTTATTCTCTTTTCGTATGCAAATCCACATTATGACCAAGGTTCAAGAAGTATTCTGTTCCGTAGATTGCAGTCGATATGAACTTTAAGAATTCATAAACCTTGTGGAGAAGCCACATGACACAGTTTTACTAGAGTTAATTTTAGGGGTGAAAACCATAATATCTATGCAGAGCTACCATACGACATATTGTCTCTATATTTGCTTTCAGCTTTTAACTGGAAGCAGATAATTCGGATGCGTTACTGATGCTGTTTGTTTTTCTTGTTACATGCTTGTTAATAAATTAAGAGAGTCTGGTGGGCTTCTGTTCTGGTTGTGGTTGACAAATTTTTGAGAGGGGGAAAAAAGGAACCCGAACCATTGTTTTTATATATGACTAAACTCTTTTTTTACAGTATTTCAATGTTTGCTTCCATTCCGTCAAACTTAATTTATCTTTAGTTGCAGCCTTGCAGTCTTTTTGTGTTCCCTCTTAGTAATCTTATTGTTCGTTAAACATATGACTTTGCACGTGCAATTCGTGGGTTTGCAAACTAAATCTCTCTCTCAACCTCTCCTTTTTCTTCTAAGATTATGAAGCTGATTTACTTATCAGGTGAACTTATTATTCATCTCTTTTCATATATACTACAGCCTTGTGTTCGAAAATGGAAGTGGAGGACAGGTCTTGGTAAATATATATGTGGGCACAGACACATACCTAGGAAGAAGTGTGCCAGTGCATGCTATTATTATAAGAGTAAACGACTTTTTCCCACCAAGGTTTCCTTAACAACTTCCACTCAAAAGTTTCAAATACCACTTTCCTACAAAGTTTATATTATGTTAATACCCAATACACTTCACTTTCTCAATCGGTGTTCGGCGAGTTACTAGGCAGAGAAGAGGTAGAGTGGTTTGTAGAGTGAACGTAGATTGAATGGTGGTGACTGATTAAATATTGTTGGTAGAACCACAGAAATCAGTTAAAATAGGAAACTCTAGCTTTGCGGTGGCCAACAAATGCGTAAATCAGTGTCAAGTGAGATGAATTTTGTAGAGAGAG